TGTTTTTTTTTTTTTTTGGATGTTGAGGCTTTGTGGGTTTGTAATGATTTTTTCAAGATCTGTGGTTTAGTGTATAGGTTTTCCTGGGTTTGCTATGTAGGGTTCAGAGGGTTCTCGGGATCTAGAGGTGGACACAGGTTGTTTCAGGCTGTTTCTGGTGCAGATGACAGGTATTATGGGTTGGATGTTGCCCGTCATGTTTACATGTTTGCTACCATTGGAACTCTTACAGGGAGTGGGGGCAATATCCAGTGGTATTAATAAATCACCCTAGTGTCGAGGTCTTGGGGGATGTCATCTCCTCCCCCTGGTAATGTAAAATCAAATGGAGCATTGCATGGAAACTAGGCATATGCATGGCGGGCTCATACAAGGATTTTCTGTATCTCATAATTATCTCCGCCTCCCCTCCTTGATCTGTGTTCTAGGTTTGAGGATTGAGAGTTCACGAGGCTTAGGGTTTAGGTTTTTAGGTGTGGGCTTCCTGCTGTCATGGATGGTTCTGCATCATTCAATCGCTGTGCTTTGTGCAATCCTTGCCAGATCCTTTGTTGTCTCATGAAGCAGAGAGTTGATACGTTCCCAAGGTGATCCCCTGTTCTGCTTTTTGGGTTTTGTACTACTTTGGAGAACCTCCAGGGGACACTGATTTTGAGCAGTGAGCCATGTTATCCGGATAGATTTCCATATCACCCAAAAAAATCTAGTACTATACTTATTATCTATGCAGTCCTAAACACCTCCAACAACAGCATCCTAGTACTGTCCCTACCCACTGCCACAAATTGAGCCCGCAATGTTGCTTTGATGTTGCCAAGCTGCCCCACGAAAAGGCTCCCGCAGTCCACTGCGCGGATGGTGAGCAAGGCAGTCCCTACAACCAGCGAGGTTTAGGGATGACACGAGGTCTATGAGGTTTTGAGTGTTCAGGTGACGTAGAGGCTTGAAGCTTAAGGGGTTTGGGGTTCGGAGCTTTGTTATTTGAAAGTGAGTTATCAGCATCCTTCTCGGGCTTTCCAGTGCCGTACGGCATCCAGTTTCTGACATGTTCTCCAGAGATCTAGATGAATGAAAAGTGGAAACTGGCCCAAGAAGCCCAGTATAGTTGCTGGATGTCTGTCTACGAGCCAACCTTTCGTCTAGGACCATCATGCAACAGATCGTGGAGTGCTTGTGATGTGGGGTTGAAATTTTTCTGGTGGGAATCACCTTATAGCTTCCTTGAGCATCATGCCAACTCGCAGAGCCAAAGATAGCATTTGCCCACTTGTTGTCCTCAATGTGCTAGTGGCGATGGACTTGTATGTTTCATGTGTTCCATTAAGGGAAAGACGGAGGTTCAGCAAGCACGGTAACTCGTTTCAGATATCTTGTGCTGAGCCTGGCTGAGTTCGCCAGCGTTGTGCATATAGAAGCCTAAAAGTTTAGTAACATCAGTGCACTTTTTTGGTAGGTCTTTATTTGCGAGAACGTAGATGATATTGTTCTTGCCCCCTCTCACATGAGAGCAGCTTTGCAGGAGAAGAAGACTCTCCGTGCTCTGCGCTGTGACATCTGGGCACAGAAGGGGAGTGAACTTTGGGATTGTGCCGTGTAATGATTGCCAACTGTACGATTATGATTTTGGCTTTCCATGACAATCATGCTTTTCCAGCTTTTGCGCACTGATACTGTCATGAGTATGTGGGGTTCGGGCGTTGTCATGATGAGTCTTTTTGCGCAGCTCGTGCGCACCATGCGTCAAACGGAGTTTTTTCGAGCGACCGCAATGCCTTTGTTTTACTCCCCCACACCAGTAGTGCCATGCCGCGCACACTTGCCTTCGCTACCTTCCCAGCATCTAGTTACCACATCGGTATAGGTTTTCGTGTGTGGTCATCAGAACCTCAAGGACATGATTTGTGATGCCAGCCCATAGTGTAAGGGACCCGCCCAGAGTTCAGCAAGGCAGCCCAATGTGCGCCCTTAGTTGCCTTGGGCTCATGCAAAGTAGGGCTTATTGTAGGTTTCGGTTTGTGTGTGCCAAGGGTTCGGTAGGAATGTTGCTGAGTGTATATATTGGGCATTCTGTAGGGGAGGCCATGAATAAAAACGACAGGTCAGTTTGATAATTTCTCAGAACTGCCCAGCATGCTCATTGCCTCTGAGGGTTCAAGCACTGTGGGTCCTTTCTTAGTTCTGGGTCCTTTCTTAGCTCCCCCGCAATGGAGAACTGGAATTGTCGGCGTGTGCAGCCAGACTTTGGCTTCTAAAGAACCAGTTGGTAGTTTCCCTAAATAGGGGGACCCCTAGTAGACCCGAAATACTCAATCCTTAGTATTGGAGAAGCAGGCGAGGTTTGTAGAAGGCAAGTGGGCATGGCTTGTGATCTCCTGCAAAGCCAGAGTACTAATATTCTCACCTGGCTAGTGAAGATGTATATACGTGGCAAGCGCTGGTTTTCCAGAGAGCCCGGACAACATTCGGGTTGCTTCTAGAGACCAATTATAATTGTATCTCCTTTTTATGTTGAGAGGAGGTTGCTTTCACAACTGTTGGGAAGTACCTTGTTGGAGTGTTTGTGGCAGCCCGTTTCAGATTTTCAGATTCACAAGACAGGCTGTGAGCACTATGGTGCCGCCCTGACAGCTCAAACATGCCATGTAAGCAGAGAAGACAGCTGATGATTGTAGTCAAGCCAAAGTCGTCGGCTTACAACTGAAACCTTTAACCCGATTGGCTCCCAGAGGATTCAGGCAGTTTGCCACCATCTACTCAAATATCAACTGTGAGCCCCTGACTCGGTTTTCCCTTCAACTTTAAGATCCTCCCTTCTGTACTCTTAATAAACTTGCTGATGTCATTCTGATTTTTGTCTATGTAGCACAGTTTGCACGGGGCAGGGGGAGGATTTAGACTGGGGGAAAGGATCAGGTGGCTCCTGGAGCCTTGCTCAACGGAGGAATGGCTTCTCCCACGCGGAGTCTTTGGGTCTTGCGGTGCCAGCATGGTGAGTAACTATTTTTTTTGAACCATGTCCAGTCTGAACAGCGTATTCTACATCCACCTACACATGCCTGGCATCAGCCGCTTTGATGTGAGCCGGCTGAAAAGAAGGTCTCAGTTGATTGTGGCTGACAAGCAGTGCTATCATCCCTCTGCCCTCTTACCCGTTGCATTTTGTTGCTTGACAAGATGTTTCAGGTTACCCCAAGTGAGTGGTGAAGATCTTGTGCAGGAGATTTTTGCTAGAGCTTAACCTGGTGATTCAAGCGTCAAGAGCCAATGGATATGGCCCGACATACAGGCATCATGGAAATGATTTTTGCCTGCAATGATCTCCACTCCATCAGTCAGTCTGTGCTAGAGCTGAACGGCCAGTTGAAGGGAGTCTGCAAAGCCCCGAGGCTCCAAGTCAATAAGCTGGCATCCTTTGTGGGAACGATAGGGTATCCGCACGCGGTTATGGTCAACCTCGGGTGGGCAGATGGCATCAAAGCAAAACGTCTGGTTCCTTCAGCTGGCGGAACATGGAGACAGATTAGGCACAAGCTGAGAAGCTGTGGAATACTGGCTCCAGGCTTGATAGCTGCCGAGAGTAGAGATTACATCGTCTTTATGTACGGTTGTAGTCGTAGATTGCAGGCTTCAGCTTTCTCAAACACCGTATCCTCAGTCACCCTGACCCCACACGCTAGCAAGTGCCAGAGTTCCCGCCATATCCCACAGGACTTCAGCCAGACTCCTCAACCTTCGCGTTAGACACCCACCCTCAGCCCAGCAATTGCCTGCGGGGGGAATGACGGCAGCTGTGGCCGCACAGCTGCATATAGATTTTAGGCTCAAGGCCATGGCCCCAGGAACCCCACACAAGAATGAGAGCGCAGGGATTCCTGCTCTCCGGGCTTATATCCTTTGATTCGGAAGTGAGAGGTAGCAGGTAGCAGTCCCATGTCCTCTGCTGCTTGTCTCGTTGTCTGAGTTTTGGCGACCTGGGGCTGTGGAGACAGGGGCTCAGTAGGGTTCAGGATTAAAAGTTGCAGCAGGTCTGGCTAAACAAGTTGCGATACTAGACGCTGATAAGAATTTCATCCTTGTTGCATCCCTACTCTGAGAAGAACACCTTCCTAGAATGTGCATATATACATATATATACATATGTATCCTCGCTGGGCGTCAGAACCCAAAGATGCTTTATGCAAACCTTGTCCAAACCTTCTGTAAGCCTCGCAGAGCTTTTGTACGCACACAATAACATTTGATGAAAACAAACTTCAACCCTCAACTCGAGAACCAGCAAAACAATCAGCTCAGGTGGATGTGCATGCTGAAGGCCTCCGACAACTGGAGCGTGCCGAACGGCTGCTGGAGGTGACTTCGCATGTTGAATCGTGGGAGGTGGTTCCATTGAGTCATGGAGGTGGGTTCACGGGTAGCTGAGGCACTTGAGAACAGACAAGGGCTGTGAGAATTGAAAGCAGATGCTTTTTCAGAAGCTCCCACAAGGTGTAGGAGGAGATATCGGGTTTAGGATTTTGCCACGCTTAGGAGGCTCATGATGCACGTATAAATAGGCTGGTATGATGATTGTTCGAGGTCATGACCGGGCCGATAAGAAGTCAAAGCAGAATGGATGCATCATGACGTTTCAGAGACGGTCAGAAAGTTTCGCGCGATCCTAAGCAGCATTGCGGAATCGATTAACATCAGTGTCCCCCTGTATGCACCCAAGATGGCAGGATCTCCTTTCCAAGAAATGTAAGATGCGAGCTTGAATTTGAGGAAGCTCCCTGGGATAGTGAACATAATTGACCCCAAGCTGCTCTGCGTCAATGTTGTTGTGCTTTTGCTTTCGCGTTTATTTGACAAGCGTGAGTCCTGTAATACCAAAACTACAACAACCACCGCCATGATGATGGGGACGACAAGATGATTCTTAGTAAGAATATAGGGGTTTCCAAAAAATCGGGGCCCCTTTTTGGGAATGTCCAGGGGAAGGGTTCTCGCATATTGGGGTCCATCTGTGAGGCCTCCTATCCAAGCAAGCCCACCACTACCATTATCCATATCCTTGTTTGGCATTGTAGAACTGTTCTGCCCAATACGCTTTCCCAAGCTCAGATGGAACATAATCTAAAATTCGAAGAAGGACTGTAGTCTATTCAATGTTCACTTTTTCAGGTTCCATGTTAGCTTCGGGCAGGGTAGCTCGCCAAAACTAGGTTGGCTCGACGGGTCCTCGGCTACTGGGCGGCAACATCTTTTCTTAGCGGCAAATTTGAGGGTTTGAATTACTTGTGGGTCTGGGGACTCAGTCAGTATACTTATAAGCCCTACAAGTTGCCTATAAGCCATATGCTGACCCCACAGACCCATTTAACACACCAAGTCCCTCTGACCCTCCCAATAACTGGAATTTGGGATTTACAACATCGACTAAAATTTCCAGAGTAGTTAACAGAATTTTCTTCATTTCCGGGAAGAGCAAGGATTGGGGCATGTTTGGAGTTTCCGTACATCTGCCTGAGGGGTAAACAATTAGAATTTCCATCAACATAAGAAAGAAATCGGGAAAGGTTTGGGGAATTTCTCAGAATCAAGCATAGGAGGGGTGCCTGGCTGGAGTTCCTGATGTCAGGTTTGGCACAGGGTACAACAGGGTTTTCTGAGGGCCTCCCAGCATTGCGGGATGCATGGTTTGTGCGAGTGCCTACCGCTCGCCAACCCGCCAGCCCACTTGGAGAGGAATTCCTGAGGCTTTGTAGAGGGAGCAGCTATGTGAGGACTCAGTCTTCCCATAAACATAGGATGCACATCTAAGACCTCCGTTATCCCCTCAACATCCGTATATAGGTATGACCATATGTGTTTATGTGCATCCCTGGGGGTCCCAAAGTGACCCCCATTTGCAGACACCCCGACTCAAGGCACCGAACTCATCTAACCCCCCAAAGCCATCGTGACAGGGATGTTTACACGTGTATACGGATCCCTCCACAAATTTGTTCAGTGTTCCATGTAAGTGTATGCCGTAAGATATTTTTCAACGGGGCTGATAGGTTGTCTGGGACCTCCTACGATTTTCCTTGTTCTTTCATGGATTTGTATGATGCAAGCCATATCACTTAATCAAGAGGTGGTAGGCTCTGTCGGCCTCAACCCCCCAGATGCTAAGCCCAAAGACCGAAATTCACCGCCAAGTCAGTTAGCAGAGGAGCCGCCGGACTGCAGTCCACAAGTCACTGGAGCAACTCTTCGGTGAAGCGCGGCTAAGGTTCGCAAAGGGATCTGGAGGGTGTCTTAGAATTTTGATTCCTTTCTGGGGGAAGATACACCGTGAGAGAACTGGGAAGATTTAGAACATTCAGTGGTCTTGGAGGGGAGTCCCTGAAATGGATGGGTCCCGTGTTCATGGGGTTTGTGCAACAGAGTTGTACATTGCAAAGACTCCAAGACAGCCATCTGAATCATCTTTGCTTTGTTCGTCAAACTGCGCCTCCCGAAGCCCCATCCTCAAAAGGCCCCCACGACATGAACTCTTGCGCACCCTAAGCATTGAGCCCATGCTCCAGAAGGTCACAAACCTTCTCTGGAGCCAATGCCTTCGCATCCACCTCCTCACTGCCCCGGTTGCTTCAGACGCCACAAGCGCAGAGGCCCTGACAATGGGGAGGTGGCTTTCCGTTCGGTTCTTCGCATGGTTGGCATGGTTGGGTTTATGCACCTTTGTAGGAGCCCCTGGGCCAGATAGAGTTGCGTCCAGTTTCTAGAAATCTTGTGGCGTGTGGGTATCAATCCTATTGGCTTCAAAACGTCAAAATGTGTGTCTGAGACGAGCTATGCTTCACAAGGCCTCCCTTGCATTTCAATTCGGTTGTGTCCAACTCTTTTTGTCAAAGTTGATTTACATGGCAGACTATTTAAAATTGAAAGCATCCGGCAGAACCTTCCTTTCTAACCTCACATCATCAAAGCAGGCTTGATATGTTCATAGTAGAACCCAGCGCATGGTTAGTTCCAAGTCGTTTTTTTGATTAAGCAGGATGATAGGGGCCTGCCCACGGGTTGTTTAAGGCAAATGTAATGCACATCAAGAATAATACATGCAGTCAGACGTGGCAGGAAACCACAGGTATTGTAGAGCCTGAATATTTAGCGATATTATTTGCTTGTGTATCCCCAAGACCCATTCTAACTGCTTACAACAAGTAAGCTAGGATGTATAGTGTCAGCAGTAGCTGCCTTCGCGTTTCGCTGCTTTACTTTTCAAGATGAGTAGCATCACTATCGAGGTGCCTTGTCTCGAGATAACCGGATCATAGAGAAGGTGAACGCATTCTTCTTTGAACCATACACTGAGTAGCAAGAACGATCTGTCAGGGTCCTGGGAATGAACCCAAGAATTTCCTAAACTGGAGGTCCCCTGCAAAAACTTCAGAAAATTCTGTTTAGAGGCTCTAAATGCCAAAGCCTCAGAGGCTGGAACGGGACATTGCCGACTTCACCCTGGTGCCCCAGGGCACCACTGGTGCCCTAACTTCGGCCCCTGCAGATGCAGACCAACCCTCCTTGGGTTTGCAGGTGCCTGGGCTGTGTGCTGATGACTGAGGGCTTGAACTCCTGGCAACACAGATTCCCCCTTATGCTATAGTAGTGTATTTTTCGGAAAATATGTTTGCAGGATGTATGACCTAGGTAGGAAAACGCCGAAGTTATCACCAGGCTAGCACCCGTATTCCCCTCAAGTATCTACTGTAGATGATACTCGCGTTTTGCAATATGCCCACCTAGCTTGTCACAGTGGTTTGGGAATGAAGTCTAATTGGGAACATCCTCCAGATGGTTCTTGCATCTTCCTATAGAGAGCTTAAACCTGGGTGCTTCAGGGCCAGTCTTCCTTATTTTCACTATGAGACAACCCATGGGCCAATAGCTGATGATGACTCATTACTGTTGTTGCTGAAGTTCATTGCCACAGGACTGCTACTTCGTTCTAGTTCGGGCAGGTCTAGTTAGTATGAAATGGATTTGCACAATTTTTTCCATCCGCAGTTAGATGTCCATTCTTCAACTTGATTTTTGTAGTTGTCCCTGTCTACACTAGCAAGCCTTGAAAGTAACTTGGCCGTAGAATCAATGCGCTTGAAAAACAATATGCGTCTATACGTCAGAAAGGGTATGAAGGGTTCATTGATGGGATGCGCTGGAATCAAAAGTCTAACGTGCTGATGCAGGGACCCCACTCATGTGGCATACCACAATCATATGGAGTTGCACCAGCTAAGCAATTTGCTGTGTCATTTTGTCGTCTTGTGACCAACACCGTGCCACTGGTATCCCCCCATGCCTGTTCCGCATCGGTCTGGTCTGGTACAACGCAGGGACTGACATTTTAAGATAAGGTGGACGGGACGACGGTCTGGTCTCTTCTCTAGGCTCTTGTGAATCAGTTTCTAGTGTGTTGCAATCCATCCTGAATCCTTAATTGTTATGTCCCTGAACTGTAAACTTTGTCCTCGCGTCGTATAGGCGCATGCCTCCTAGACAGCCGAGGAGTTCTTTGGTCTCAGACACGAGCGGGTCATAGTGGAAACTGTGGAAGTTCCTCGGCACCTGACTGGAGGTCGGGCTTACGAAATTCTGGGTAGGGGCAGCAGTAGTAGACTTGGCAGTTGCTATCGTGGCTAAGTTTATGGGTCGCCCAACCACCTTAATACCTCCCAAAGGTTCCCAATTGATTAAACTCATCTGGTGTCAATGTGGGCTCCTTCAGGGGAACCCTGGGGGTGTAGTGCAGGGAGGTTCGGAGAATTCAGGATTACTGCGGATTGCAACGCTGGTAGCAACAAGTGGCGCAATAAGCTTGACTTAGTAGAGCGGTGGTAATAACAAGTCTTGATAGTCTTGCAATATATCGGTAGCAGATGGTTATTAGATGTCTCACTACAGATGGCAGATGGCAAAGACTGTAACGTGTGCGGGGGTCCGGCTCAGATAACGTCCCTTGTGGCCCTGGTCTAGTTCCAAGCAACGTCTAGGTTTTCGAACTGATGGATTGTGAATCTAACTGCTAATGACAACAAAAGGAGGTGATGGGGACTCCACTGCGTAAAGGGTCTCGAGCACAGGTCTTGTGAGACTTCTAGTCCTTCGAACCAGGCCGCTGTTTAGGCATGCAGACGGGGACCCGTACATCGCATCTTGTTGCTGCGGAAGCCTGCGGAAGCTTGCGGAAGCGTGTCATGTGCCAATAGGGTGGCTCCAGCAGAGAGACTCCTGCATAGGGACGTCCTTTCTTCAGGTTTAGAGTTTAGAACGCAGAGTTTAAGATGGCCATATTTGAGCCGCTCAACTTTAAAACCTTTTGGTGGTTGCCCATAGATCGACCAAAATCGCACAACATCCTACACCCTGAACTCTAAAGCTTCTCAATATCTCGCCAGAGTGGGCACCGCGGGCCATCCCCGTAGCTGGATAACAAGCGCCTTGGTCACTACCAAATCGTTCCACCAACAATCGAGCGGCAGAAGGACAGCTAACCCATATGAGTTGAAGCACATTCCACATAGTCTGCTGAAGCTCTCCGCAGTTCATATACCCAAAACACTTGAAGTAAGGAAGGGATGTTTCTCAAATCTATGCAGAACCAGTATTGCTTAAGGTCATGATCAAGGGCCCTTGTGGCCCCAATGTTGCCCAGGAGAGTTACCGGGACTGCTTGCGAAGCTGCGAACGTCACTCCTTTGATCGCCTTCAAGCGGATTGGGAGGACGCCAAGTCGCAGTCCCTTGGCCATGTGCCGGGTTGAGGGGCTCAGGGGCTTCATCATGATGATGACGACAGTTTTGATGGTGTTGATCATGATGAGGTCGTGCAAGTGGTGTGAGTTGCGGGAGGAACACGATGATGACAGTCTGACAATCATGGTCATGATAGCCGGGAAACCATCTTTGTCATTGCTCTCATTCATGGCAGCTGCGCTAAGTACGGAAGGGTATACTTCAAACCACAAGCCACACTGAAGTCATGTTAAGACCCACTTACTCCGAGCTAGTACAGTCACACTGGAACAGAGCAACTAAAAGTTATGTGTCTCTCTTGCAATTTCCTCATGAATTTGAGGCCACATTCCATTTGCCTCAACCCGTGCCATCTTGAAAGTCTGCATCCGCGAGCTCTCGACGCAAAAGGAGCATAAACAGGATCAGCTGATTCGTTGTAGTTGGTGTGTCGGCTTTGACTTTGTTCCTGTTCAGCTTGGTCTTTCACAATTAGCATGACAATGAGCAAACCAGAAGCATCTGGCAATTAAAAAAGAATCGCAGATGGTCGCTTGGAAGTTGTGGGACCTACTTACAATCGGGATAGCTGGATTGCTTTGTGAGACGGCTCCAGCGGGGGCATATTGACTAGTCGACAGGTATTGATGGAAAAATGTGAACAAGCTTGCCAAACAAAACAGGCGAAAGCTGAAAGTGCAAGTTTGCAACTTGAGATTCTCCCGCAAAGCAGAGATGCTATGCGAGGAGACTACAGGTCCGCCCTTTGATTTCAAGAAGGACTTAATATTTGTCAGCAGTTTCCTTAAGCACTACATCCCATTCTTTCCACGCTGCAGCCTGGGCCTCTCCCTCCAGCCATAGGTTTCTGGGCAATCTGCAGCGGCTGGGCCAAGGTTCTGCGGTTTCTCGGCTGCTTTTGGATCTATCTTGGACGTTCTAGCCTAGCCCCAAAGAAATGCCACAATTTATGCGTCGCACATGGTTTTACACGCGATCTATGTTTGGGGTCCTTCGGGGGTTTGGGATGCTCGTCAGAAATTTGCCAAAGACACGAGCATGCCAAATCCAGATCTGCTGAGGCAGAATCCTCAGCAGGAGGACCTTCTTTTGACATATTTGGCCAGAGGTATCAGCTTGCGGGCCCGAATAAGCAGCTGTACGTCATCCTATGAAGATAGCATTGTCAACGGTTGCTTTCAACCAGTCGTCGTCCAGCATGCAAATTCAGATTGGTCTTTTCCTCCCCGAACTTGTCTGCTTCAGCGCTCTCTTGTCACAAGACTACAGAGTCTTGTCACTTGTCTGCTTGCAACCCATGAACGCTTCCCAGGTTGTAGCATTGTGCAATGATGGCACAGCCTCTGGCACTGCAGCAGTGCCACCCACTCAGGACTTAAGAATTTCCGTACACATATTCATATAATCGTGCCTTAGCACGAAGAGTGACATACACGCATTTACACGCACACATACATTGTTGTCATGCATTTCAGGCGTTGGGTTCCCTTTCTTATGCTCAGACGGGCTGAGTTCTCAGGAATCAAGATGCCGTGCTGTTAGCATGGAACGATTCAGTTGTGACCAGGAGGATTAGTATTTCTCGTAATCTCCTCTTTCCAGTGGCATCAGAAGTGACCCTCCCCATTTAGGCGTAGTGTTGATTGTTGGTTGTTGGCGAATCTTCTTCTCATTTTCATTGCTGACGCCGTCACATTCACAATATACAGGATCACGCATTAAGTAGGGGAAGTGCGGCAAGATTTCCCTTAGTAAGTACATCCAGCCCATTCAGTTGACGAAGGTCAAGAGATCCTGCCTAAAATCATGGTAGCAAGATGCAAATCGCGGTCCTATGAGTATAAATTGTGGTCATGTGACGCTGTCGAATCAATAAGACCAGATCCTAGCATGACTCAACAGCTTTCCCCGGGACAGTGGCCTGTCTTGCCATGGCTTTATGTTGGCGTGGTGCTTGCTGATGCGATACGTTTGGTCCTTTCTGCTGATGCCTTTCCTTTCTCTTGAAGGATTCATTCTTTCTCTCTGTTCTCATGGTTTTCCAGTAGTACCCCTGTTGGGAACCAGTATTTCTAGCTAGCGGCTAGCGGTAGCCTCGTTGTCATTGTTCTTTGAGTGTTTCCTCTTCCTTTTCTTCACAAAGTAGTTTCTCAGGCATTCAATTCGAACTCCTGAAGTTGGACCCTGTAAACCTTGTAGCATCCTCGTGAACCCCCTGTGACCCTCATCATTTTGAAAGGCCCCAACTTGAGTAGTTTTTGAAGGGTGCCCAAAATAGCTGGAGCATAATAGCTTGTATCCCAAAACGGGTCCTAGATTTTGACAACGATTCACACATGCTAGGTAACAGTGCAAATTCTATTTTAAAACTGGTCCCTGCTTTTGAAACTAGAAATCCTGCATGACCGGCATGCCACAGCACCATAATTGCCAAGGTAGAACGCGCCTAGGGTCATACGGGAGCTTTGATATCCACAGTCGTTCTCAACCTCCTCAAACCTAAATCCTAAACGCACCCATGCAGGATGCGCCCATCATAGATGCCCTACTGAGCGAGTCCATGGGCTCCCAGCCTCAAACGGTTCGGGGTTATACTTAGACCCTTAAATTCAATGTGTTTCCTTTTCAAGGCTCCTAGTAAGACTACTAAATCCCCAAATCATGCCAAACGCAAAAAGGAGCTGCACTGGAGGTTCAAAGTATGTATTCCGTTACAGGGGTCGTGGGTGGGTATTCGCTAATTGCATGGTGGGTATTCAACGCTTGAAAGGGGAGTGATCATGAAGTGAGTAGGAAAGGGTTATACGGGGTGGTCTGGATTTCCAAGTTTAGATAGATTTTGAACATAAATTCGGAGGTTTAATGGATGATGTTGTTAAGCTTGACAAGCATTGATGGACAACACGTCATGATGTCCTGAAACAACTGACGGGGATGCGCTTGAAGGCCGCGATCAGTAATAGTCTAAGGCATGGCCTTTCTCAGGTTGAGTTGTCCGATGCACAAGAAATGGAAGCTGCTGCATGTTGTTTTGGGGTGACTGTTAAATATTATTTGGGTATAATCTCTGATAGTAGTCCCTGAAGCTCGCTTGCAAATCAAGGACCCACCAAGATTTCTTTAGAATGATTCATAAGAGCTCGCTACTCCTTGTAGATGATCAGACAGCGACCTAAATCATTATAATCATCCCGTTCTAGTTCCCAGTAGTCGTCTCCAACACACAAAAACAAAGGCCCGCCACTGGTCCAGAAGATCGCGCAGCTGAGTAGCGCAAGCTGCCCAGCCTACCAGGCCTTGCATACTTGGTTATTACCACGAATAATGGGACTATGCAGGGTGATTGAGGGATGTATAGGCAGGGAAGAGAAAATGGAAACTACTGCAACAGAAAATCAAATGAAAACGAAAATGGAAGACGACATGGAAACTGGGATTAGATAGGATTTTCAAAATGGGGCCCCTGAGGGACCTTGGTGGTTTTTGGGGTTCATATTGGGGCTAGGCATTATGGTTTATGGGGGCACAATTTTGTCGTGAAACTCGGGATTCGGGGTTCAGGGTTTGGAGGGCTTGAGGGTTCGGAGCTTAAAGACTTAGAATCTTGGGGGTGGGACAGCTTTTAGGGTTTAGGAATCCAAAGGTCAAGGTTTGGAAAAGTTTGGGGATTAAGTTTCATGGGTGGTTTTGGGGACTTGGAACTTGTTTGGAATTGAAGTAATGGCAGACCAACCTACGGGAAGCTCTCGATCATGAATCTCCGCGGTTTGGGTATGGCTTTGGAGCCTTTAATACTCAGGGGATGCATGTTATTCCGTGATGGTTTGGCAACCACACCCAGGACCCCCTTTGACGCGGAAAACTCCTCCCAAGCACTCCTAATTTCTGAAAACAGCCAGGTGGAACTCTCCGAGTGCTGGAGCATTTTAGGCCAAGAGCTGCATCTCGCTGTGGAAATATGCAGTGGGTTAGGCTTCAGGGAAGCATTGTATAAGAATTGCGGTGGGATTGATTCCCAGGGTCTACAACCGGGATTTGAGCAGATTAGTTTACAGGGGCTTGATCAAGCCTATTTTGGATAGCCTGTCGAGCTTGCAGCCCAGTTGGCACGGCTCTGTGACACCTTTTACGACGACAACAGGGGTTCGCCATCCGTTCTCTGAGGTGGATATGGGTTATCAAGCTTGAGGGGTTGGCTCTGGGAGAACATAGCTGCTTGGGGTCATTACATTTCTGGATGTTGGAAGTCCTTTTGGACTCTTGACTTGGGGTTGGCATACCCCCGATGGCCTTCATCGGCATTTAGTTTCATGGAGCTCTCAAGAATGCCCACGGTATGGAAGGCTTGTAGAAGACCATTCTGCAATAGTCTTGGCGATGACTCACTGGCATCAGCGAATGAAGACCACTGCATGATGATCATGGTTTACATTGAAGGTGACGTTGAGGGTATGGCGCGTTATGTTGGAATTGAAGGTTTCTCATAAGGGGTCAGTGTTGGTACTAGGGGGAGAGGGATATGAGATTACTAGCACGTCACTACTCGTATCTCAGTCGCAGCTGGGCAATTCTTGGCAACATAACAAGCAAATAGTATGCCCCCATCTCAAGCGGGTCATCGGGCACAGTCCGAAGAACCAGTATGAACTCACTGTGAGCAAGAATTTTGTGAGACACTCCAAGTGAAATCCTCCATGCCTCCAGACAAGAAAGCCTGCCCCAAATTGATAGTTGCAAACAGTAAGGATGCTTCTGGGATACTCAATTCTACAGGGTGAGTACTTCCTATAATGGGATCCAAGAACGAGCATTTTGTGGCACACCTCCCCCCAGTACTCTGTTCGTGGAAAAATTCAAGCCTGTTCACAGCTGAGGAAGATCACGCTGGGAGGTATTACTTCCGGTGCTCTCGCCTATCTGCAAAACCGCTTTTTCGATGAGGCGTGCTTCCGTGCCAGAAGGGGGGTACCCTGAGAGATGAGCTCTCCAGGATTGCATAGGGCTTAGGTGGAGACAGCAAAACTCTGGGATGGCCAGAAGATCTCTCTCGAGGGTCGAACTCCAAGCAATGTTAAGTCTTGAAGGTTTCCTGACACGAGCATCGGATGCCAATCAGGGCCCATAATTACAACATAAATCCCCTGAACCTTGAAGCCTATAGCTGAAAACACAACACCAGGGCCCCAAGGCCATTGACTCTCCAAATCCCCGCAGAAGGTCAAAGGCTTTGTCTACAACCAAGCAGATGCCCGTCTGGGTGGTGTTCCGGATGCCTGGTCGCTGGTCCGGGCCTATGGCCGACTGAGACTTGGCAACGGATTGCCAGATCAAAGAAGGTTAAATTTGAGGTTTAGTTTTGAGACTTCCCAGAGTGGGCGGCACTTGCAGGCGGCATGGCACGCTTCTCACCAGACACGCTGCATTTCGCGAGCATACCGCTCTCAGAATCTGCTTACAAAGCTTGAGTGTGTGTTGGGGACCCCGTGGGTACACTGGTGACATTCTGAAGTTGAAAACCAGATCCTCAAGGACACATTGAAGGCCATTGAAAGTTGTAGTTGCGTCGGGTCATCTTTTGCGAACGAAGGCTGCGTGACATCTTGCGCGTATGTGAAGCAGGAAGCAGGAGGAGGAGGAAGAGAAGGACGAGGAAAAGGTAACCGTAAAACAGAAAACCGCAGCAGGATATCATTGAGGTGACCTCAGCATCAAGGAAGGCAATGCAAGCATTGTACAACAGTGTTGGGAAGCTAGGATTACGAAGTCGCACCCCGAGGAACACCATCCTTGATTCCAGGTGACGCAAGGCACGAGCAACCATCGTCTCTAAGATGTCAGTGTTTTGGCTTCGGGTGTGCAAAGTCTTTGTGGCAGGTTTACCTACCCTCCTTTAAGGTTCGCAAACAGAAGGTGTATGTACACGCATCTATATATATGTATGTATTCATACATGCCTCTCTGAACGCCGAGGAGATTCCAGACCTCCAGCTTTCCCACCTCGCCAGCACACGTCTGGTACGCTGCCTACGTGGCTGCTCGTGCGGGTCTGGTTTCACTGCCGCTGGGCTTTGCCTCACATTTCCTCGTAGTATGAGTGTTCTGGGCAGAGGCAGCCGGAGTAGGAGTAGGAGTACTTGCACCGCTGCCAAACAGACGTCTATTCTGGCTGTCCCAGCTGTACCCTCTAGGGAGTCTGTAGACACCACGACTGCATCACTGGAATTCGGGAGTTTTAGAGTTTCAACAAAGAAGCCCGAACCTGTTTCTCAAAACAAAAGTGCCCCGCATGCTACAATTCCCCTGAAAGGGAGTCCAGAACATTGGGCAACCCTTACATCAACACATTACATGAGGCTTCTTGAGCTTCCCGACAGAGCTAGCCCAGCTTCCGAGCGGTGTCCCATGTTCCTTGGCTCTGGTACAAGCGTTTGCGGAGATATGTTGAGTTTCCAATGCCGGGTTTTCGAGACTGCTTGGGATTCCAAATGTGGGACTCTTTAACATATTTATGTACCGGGAGTACTGGAATACTAAAGAGCATTAGGCATGGCGTCTAAAATTCATCCTTGCAGCGTCCCCAGAGCAAGTTCGCAAGATACGTGTAAGGATTCTATTCATGATGCGACTGTTCATGAAACTGCCGCACGACCATGCTGTGGGACAACTCTCGGAATACACAGGTTTGCACAGCCATTCTGCCGACGAAGCCATTGGCGAACCAAGATTCCTAGCCATTTCAGGGTTCCAGGGATGGACTCGACTACGCTTTTGTTTCTTGATGTCTTGGGGCTTCACAAAGTGGTTGTAGAGAACAGCGGACGGGCAGTTCAAACTAGGGCGAGAAGATCGCAATCATTCATATGCTCCAGGTAGGAGTCGTTCCATAAAAGGTAAATAGTGCTGGTTAGAGTCAACAAACCGCCGCTTTGAGTTGAAAATAGCGCCGTCTTCCGATTTCGTCGTGGGCATGTCTCAGCATTGCCCAAGCCTTTCCTGAAAATCCGGAAGCGCAAGCTGATTGCAATCCTGAGAGCCCAGTGCTCTTTGATACCATGTCGGGCACTCAGAGGTTTCTCTCTTCAGAAAGGCCACATAAGATCTGCTCATGTACCCGCCAAGATCTACATTGTCCGCAATGCGGGGACTGGAAAAAAAGCGGTTTGTTGAGCTTTCTTAGGCTGGGAGCTGTGTGCTCCCTGATGGCGCGGCGACTTCAAGTCGTTTACCCACAGGCCCGTGGTATGTGCTTAGGTATGAAAACACTAAAGCGAAAGGGTTTGCTGAGGTTCTAAATGGGGGTTGAAAGCTGCAGTGGTTTATGTCAGGGTTCGGGCTCAACTTCATAGCTATCTTCATGTGCGCAATATACTCAATCCTTGTACCTATCTAGGTTTGAGGACCCTGGACTCTCAAGAGTTCATTGCGAGGAGTATGGTTGTGGAATTCTAGGAACTTGAGTTCTATGCTTCAGGCTGGGTTGGTGGACCTTGCGGGTTTGGGTCTTTGCTTCTAGCAGCAAGAACCTTACATTTACGTTGACCATGGAGTTTCTGTGCCCGGGTCTCTGGGACTTGCACTCACAGATTTGGGGGCTTCTCCACGTCTCTCGCCACAGGGGACCGTTGAGTCATGAGTATAGAGACTCCGATGGAGTACAGGTTTCCCACGAGCAGAGCCCAGCATATAAAGTGAAAAGCCGCGGGTCAATTTGGACCGATGGTTTATGATGAAATGCTTTACGACGTTTTTGCTGGTGTTGTTGGGCTTTAGCAGGTTTGCTGACAGCAAATTCAGGGGATCATGGGGCAGAGTGTTTTATAGAATGTCTGATGTAAGGCTACAAATACCCAATGTTCACAAGGCTGCAAAGGGCCATGCAAGGCTTCATGTTTTGAGTGCTATATGCTGCTTTATAAGGATTTCAAGAGGTTGCGTCCAGCCGCATTGGGATTCCATTGAACGCATGAAGCAAGGCTTTGTAAAAACTGTAGCAGCCTGTCCATTATATAAGGCTTATTTGGGGGTTATATAAGAGCTATCTATATATATATATATATGCTACCCCCCCCCCTAAAACCTACGTTT